ATTGCAGATCAGCCGGGCAGTCGCTACCAAAACGTGACGCGTTGATCGTCGCTCTGAGGCGCAATTTGACATGGGATCAACAGCCTGAGCTTGCATACTTACCACTGGCTCATGGTCTGAGTCCCTTCTGGCATGCAACTATTCGCATCATGGGCCTAAGCCCTCAAACACTTTCTGCAAGGATCTTCAAAGAATCTCGTCAACAACCATCCTTAGTGCAAAGTGTGCTTGTGTTGTACATGCACACCGCAGTCTTGACAAGCATTTCTCTTGGCCAAAAATGACGAGGATTAATGAGGGTCACCCATCTAGCCACAATTGGACATATGCACCCCTGCTTGGGAAACCGCATCTTTGCCTGTCTTCGTGAAATATATATATATAGTTTGTTTGTTGATACATATTTTTGTGTATGTATATACATGTATATAAATATATATATGTGAAAGGAATACAGGCATACACAAGCACGTAGGAGCATGCAAGAAAATATATGTGCCTGTATACGCAAATGAACTTGCATATTATATACTTTGTACCCCTCTGCAAACTAACATGGACCTTGAAAACCACTGGTTTGTCAAGGACCATCATCTTCCAAGGGTCCATTTTCAGGGTCCATGTTCGTGTTCAGGAGGCTATCCATTTGCACACATGGTGGAACATGAAAACAAAAGCACGCCTCCAGCAAAGCCAGCCTTAAGTCTAAATTAAGCTGATGGGAAGAAGACCCAGTTGTAGCAGCACCTTGAATGAATAGCGTCGCCAGGGAGGTGCACAAACTAATCCTGTGAAGCGAAGTCGCTGGCACAATACGTGATTGCGTTCTCTCTTTATGTCTACCTGTCGGACAAAAATGTTAGATTGAGATGTGTGTGTGTGTGTCACACTCTGTCCCAAAGAGTATGTGCAGGGGGATGCCGGGGATTTCCATGGTCGGCATCCAACGAAGACACCATGGATTTCCTGTGACATGAGTCCTGCGGATGATGTGACTCCATTCTTTCCCGCGCTGTGTATTGCTTCCATGGTTGTTCTCACGATAGACCCCAAAACCCTGGGCTTTTGCAGCTGAGCCGCGCCGTTGTTCGCAGCCGCCGCGTTCTGCAGTCATGCGCAAACAGAGTTTTCAACTTTTCAAATGAACGGTTCCCTCGCTCGTTTCCTGGGGGGAACTGATGTAACTGCAAACCCATTATCTAAGCGTGCGCCGCTCTGTCGTCCCACTGGGTGCAGAGTGTGATCCCCGTCACTGGGGCGCTGAGACCATTCCGGACTACCGTGCAACTGATGTCGAGTTTTCTGCACGCTTTGGATTATGGTTCCACGGAATCACAAGCTTCAACGAATTTCCAGATTCACAAGCTGCCGAGCCACGGAGACTCCACACCGCCGGGTCCACAGAGATTCATTCCACAGCGTTTCAAGTTTCACACACACCCACACACACACCCACCTTGCACCCGAACTCGCACTTTTATCCCACCCGCTATCTAGGGTAACAGAAGGAAGTCGTAGGCTCGTTTCTGTTGGTCTCGTTTCTTTTCATCCATATTCTCCTTCCTTCCAGAAGGTCCCTGATACAAAGGTTTGTATGGATTGCCACCCAAGAGAGAAGATTGCTGTGGCTTTGGCAGGTTGCGCTTCCTGCCCCCTTCATCACTAGAACTTTCCCCAGACTCTCCTCCTTCCTCCAGAAATGGCTGGGAAGGAGCCTTGCTGCTAGAAGCGGAGGAAACCTTTCGTTCCCCATTTCCTCGTCGCACTCTTCTAGGTTTCTGTGGAGCACCAGGAGGTTCCTCTGTCTCTGCTTGGCAAGCTTTAGTCACAGAGGCTTTCTGGGGCTTTGGATCATGGGTTTGCTGGCTCAAAAAAAGGCAATGGCTTTTGGGAAGGCTCAGTTTCTCCTTCCCAAACGGTGGCAGTGTGGCCTTGAGCCAGAACCAGAAGACTAACCCCCAGACAAGTGATTCTATTGGGGAAAGATTGGGCGAGTCCCGTGCGGTAACCTCAAATTTTGTGAATTTGATCCTCCCAGAACTTCAACTTGTTCGGCACCGGCTTGATCACTGCTTCCCACGGTCTCTTGTCGTCGTAGTTCAAGGGGATGGGATGTCCTTCCTTCATGTCCATGTTTATTTTCAGCTTCAACCGGGACAGCAGTTCGCTCCTTGACATCTCGTCCGCCTCATACACTAAAATGCCAAGCATCTGGGTAGAGGCGCGTCAGCTTCTCCACGTATAGCGCGTAAGCATGAAGTGGTGCCAGTGAGCATTCCTGGAGTGATCACGGCGGTCGTGAACACCCAAAAGGAAGCCCTCCATTGAGTGAAGTTCGAAGGCCCCGGTAGTTCCTTCGATACGTAGCCTTCCGCCGTCCGGTTCCATGTCCTGTATTTTGAAGCCCTCATGAACGGCACGAAGACCCCAAAGTCCGCGAAAGGGGATTTTCCCAACGGCAATTTCTTCTTCAAGGCGGAGAGCTGTTCTAGTGTGGGTTCGTGCTCTTCCTCCAGCAGTGGTTCTGTCGTCGAGATGTATCGTTGCAGCGCACATGCGTCGTTCCAAGATGGGGTCCAACGTTGGTAGCGGAGCTCCGTGCTCTAGGGTGGGTGGGTTATGAACAAAGCATTCTCGATGATAATGCGATCAGCATCCTTGCCAGACCGACTAGCCCCAAGCTTCCAGCGTATAGAAAGCACAGTCTACATAGAGGCTACCATAAGCCATTGGCACGACACGTTTTTATGTAACCATTAAATGGCTTTGAGTATCATTAGCCACTTGTGTCTCGTTAGACCGTCCCGGAAGTCATCTTGGCATCTTCGCCCAACGCCTCGAACTCCCGATCGTCTCCTTGACCCAGTACTTGAGCGAATTTGAGAGCGCGATCCTTCGCGCCCTTCCCGTCCGCGTCGATCGTGGTCATCCTCTCCAACGTTGAAGGTCTGGGCCCGCGGGCTCAGCGCGGGCTCGGCGCAGGCTTGGCGCGGGCTCAGCGCGGGCTCGGCGCCGGCTCGCGGGCTCGATGCGGGCTTGGGGGCTCGGCGCAGGCTCGTGCACTCAGGCAGGCGTGCAGGTTTGTGGGGTTAATTGCACGCGTGCTCGGTGTGGAGTGTCTACTACCGGTCAATATCAATTGCTGAATTGCCACCACTACCTATCCACGCCAACGTCTTTCTGACTCTTCGAGTTGCCCTCACAAGCAAGCCTTTCACCGTATTCCACCTGCCCACATTCATTGGAGAAGTCCTTCCTCCGCCCCCAAAAAATGAAGGTTTGTGACTGACTACGTTGGTCTTTTGAAGGGCGGAAAGAAAAATTATAGGACCGGATAACCCCACATGTTAACAACTTCACCACACACAACCCCTGTAAGAAGAAGAAGAAGAAGAACAAACGCGGTTTGAAAAAAGGAGTAGAGGAAGGATGAGAGTGACCGAGCGTTGATGGGGTTGGTGACTGGTGGTTGTTGGTGGTTGTTGGTGGTTGTTGGTGGTTGTTGGTGGTTG